TGAGAAAAATAAAACTTCCCGTCCATCCACAGTTACAGCAGAGCCCAGTTCAAATCACTAGAACCTGTTAGCATTAGCAACTACCGCTACTGTCGGGGGGATTGAAACCTACTGGTCCGGAACACGATAGTTTTCACGACGACCAGCTATGCGATGTGTGTTTGTCGTTGTTGTTGTTCACAGTAAGGGAGGGAGGTCAACAAGGTCAGCACTGTGGAGGTGTTTTAACATCCAGGACCAAAACTGGACCAGGACCAAAACTGGACTCTTTATTTATTTCCAGTTACGATACGAGACGTTCGTGAACGAGATAACGTCTCAGGATGACGAGACGAGTTTTATAAAAACGTATTCATCCGTCACCGTGTGTGTGTACTTTGTTTCTTGAACCATTGAAGTAGTACTCTGTAGTACTACAGTACAGAGTTCAGGTGACGAACGGTGATTGATGTTGAAGCTCTGCTCACTTTCTGTGCAGCCGACTGTTGAACAGGAAGTGAAAGATTATTCCTGTCTCTTCTTCAGTATTTTCAGTATTTATTTATTCATTGATATATTGGTCTGATATACACACACACACACACTTTCAGTCCATTGCGTCTTTATTGAAACCCAACCTAAAGAAGTATTCAGTACTCTGTCAGTACTCTGTCAGTACTCGGTCTGGTACTCTGTGGAGGCAAGTGAACAAATGTAAATACTCAAACTTGTTTTGCTTTGTTTTCTACCGTACAGTGTTCTTCATGTTGTGGTTTAAACTGTGAACCCTAACACTGACCCCCCCCCCCCCCCCCCTGTGTTTCTGTGTGCAGGTCTGACAGTCCAGCGGACAAATTCAGGTAAGTCTTCACTCACACTCTCCTCTTTCACCCTGACCACGAGAGTGTGTGTGTGTGACGGCTTTTACACGGAGCGGCGCCGCTGCTGAAGTGTCCTCGCCGTCACCTCGTCTGCCCTCACTACTGCCCCCTGCACTCGTGACACAGTCAGAACGCACTTTGCATTTGGACAGAGTCGCGGTAAGTCACAGCAGCAAGAGAGGAACGAGGTTCTCTGCTGTTGTTGGCTAACGCTAAGACGCTAACAGGACGGTCACCAAGCGGTTAGCGGGAGGTCATGAGGTCAGATGCAGACAGGAAGTCCAGAAACTTCTGTCAGTTTGATGGTTTGTGTCGCTACAAGATGGTGTGACTGACCTGAGGGGGGAGGCACTGGAGGGGTGAGTGACGGGTGAGGAACAGAGGGATCTGTGACGACACTGTAAATATATATATTATATATGATGTCATCATTTAAATCTGACTGTATAGAGAAGTCAGACAAAAAGTTAATGTCTGAACTTTAGTGTACTATGGTGTACTTTAGTATGTCATCATTTAAGTCTGACTGTATAGATGTATAAGTTAGACAAAAAGTCAGTACAATTTAATGTACTATGGTGTACTTTGGTGTACTATGGTGTACTTTGGTATACTATGGTGTACTTTATTGTTTTGGATCAGTGTGAGTTTTCCGCTGTTGTTCAGTGTTTTTGTTGTTTAGTCGCGTTGTTGTTTGGTCTTTTATAAAATCTCTGCTGAAGGAATTATAACAATATTTAGATAAAATACCTTATATATTTGATGAGATAATATTTGTATATTTTGAGTCCACAGAATATATTTGTTACTTCAGTGCCTCTTTTTCCATCAGGTCTTACTGTCTGTGTGTGCGCGAGTGCGTGCGCGTGCGTGTTTCTGCTACAGTGTGTCCGTGTCTGCTCGAGTTTCCTCTGATTGCTTAGTCATGCACTTCATGTGTGGAGCGGGCTGAGCTGCGTTTGAACCACTAGGAGTCGCTGTACTCCACTCCACAGTCAGGCTGAGGCCTGTGGAGCTCACTGTTGTTGTTGTTCTTCTTCTTTTACTCAGCAGTGATGTTGACCGTGTCAGTGATTGGTTTTTATTGGTTTGTTACATGAATGAAATGGAATGTTTGACGCCTGATTTTTTTTGATTGATTTTTTTTTTTTAACAAAATTCTCATATTACTTTTCTGCACCGTCTTTCTGTTGCAAATTTCAAAATCAGATTTGCTGTTGTGTAAACCGTCCACAAGCTGCAATAACGTTAACCCACCACTGGATGTGCTGTGACAGAAAGTCAGCCATTCAGGCCAGTGATGTTGTCAACATTTACACAGCAGCTGTTGTTCACTCTGATTTTAGAAATACAGACTTTTTTTAGTGAAGGAGCAGCAGAAGATCCTGGAGTTTGACCTCATATCAGCAAAAAAAAACTGTAAATTTTTTTCACGTTATTTATACGTTTTTAAGATGGAATTAGCCTTCCATGAAGTAGAGTGGTTGCTAATGCTCCTCCCCCACACCCTCAGGCCAAACTGCTCTAAAAGTAAATGTCAGAAATGGTAGCCACAGAAGTTATTTTACGTCCTGATTACTCGGCGTTCTTCGTGCTGCTGTGGATTCACATAAAGAACGTCAGAATCCTCCGTAAATAATACATGTAAAAAGCCCCTGAGAAAACGCCGCTCTGCTGTTTCTGTTAGCGCCACAATAAAAATGTCCTCTGGATGTAAAAGTACGGCGACGCCATCGTAGAAAACTCCGTCCTGATTATCGATCATCGTCTGCGGTCTGAGACGTCAGCTCGCGGAGATGGAGAGAACTCAGCATAATCTGATCTGACCGTTAAAGTCGCACTTCGCTCTGGAAATCGGGAAGTACATGATACTGGGAAAAACAGATGAGATCTCGATTTCTTTGTTGTTTTGGCTTGACTTTCAAATGAAGTGTGGGTTCAAATCCTGTGAGACAGATGAGATCTCGATTTCTTTGTTGTTTTTGCTTGACTTTCAAATGAAGCGTGGGTTCAAATCCTGTGAGACAAGAGAGTAAACGGCCAGAGCTGAGGTTTTATCAGCACTTGATTAACGTTGATTTCAAATGGAATCTGATGGAAATAATAATAACAATAACAATTATTATTATTGGTCGACCAGGTAAATTTAAAAACACAAACTGATTCTTTGGCTGCAGTACAACTACTTGCCAGCAGGTGCCTGTTGCAAACTCCAGCAGACATTTTGGTTTTCGATCAGCAGCTTATACTTATAGCTTCTGTTATTACAGCTGTAATAATACATCTAATTAATTCTTGATGTTAATGAAGGAGTCTTAATTTTCCACTGAGGAAATTCTTCCAGTTTTTTTTCACACTGGTCTAAATCCTGACCGTCGTATGTGGGTCAAAGGTTCTCAGTGACTCCACCACACGACTGCCGTCCCCGCTCTCTGTCTGTGTGTGTGTGTGTGTGTGCAGTCAACTAATAATTAAAGATGGTGCTACGCTTTGTTTAAGAGCCAGCGGTGCATGAAGCTGCAGCTGACATTGCAAACAGAGAGAAAAACACAGAGGAGGAGGAGGAGGAGGGTGAGGAAGAGGGGGAGATAGAACAGATAAAAATGAAGGGAGTAGAAGGAGAAGAAGGGAGTTGATGAGGAGGGGAGAGATTTAAAGGAGGTGAAGGACCACCCTTATCAAGCATAGCCATTCTCTGGTAGCCTACCAAAGAGACCTTCCCACACACACCATGGCCAGCCAGCCAATCGGTGCGCTCACATCCCTGACCCATCCTCCCTCATACAACTGCTCATGCACGGCTCAGCGACGCTGATGTGAAGTGATACGATAGAAAACGAGGCTGCGAAGCTCTCGCTGCGTTTGTTCAACACCAGGAGGCAGAGCGCGGGCCAGGACCGGCGGGGAGGACTCGTGGGGGCGGGAGGAGAACGGTGGGATGTGATCTGCATCAGGACCGTATCATCCGCTGCGTCTGGACGTCCCTGCTGAAGAGACGTGTGTTTATGTAGAGCAGTTGTGTTTCTCTCATCTTTTCCCGCAACTTTTTTTTTTCTTTTACCTCTGTGGGATGGAGACGGGATTTTTTTTCCTCTTCTGACCGGGGTCTGAGCGTTGTTTGTCAGGGAGGAGACTCGCCACACGGGGGATTTTACACGACTGACAGACGATGACAGAACATGCAGGATGAACCTGGAGGTTCTGATGAGCAAACGGCAGGGCAGTGATTGAAGACGGGCCATGAGAGCCAGAAGAGAGGCCAGGATGGTGTCTGCCTGTTCACCATGCACAGTCATAAGGTCAGCTGGGAGTCTATAACTGCACGCTTTAGTCAAACTAACCAGACCGACCAACCAGCTGAGACACTAGTGCGATGTTAACTCTTTCTACACCCACTCATTCACCTGTTTATATTTACTGCAGCTGTAGGTGAGAAACGTCCAATCGACGTCGGCCTTTTTAACGTCAGCTCTGTCCGTGTTTAAAGGAAATCAGTTTCAGTTCAGCGGCGGGGACTTCCTGGATTCTCCAGTTGACTGTCTGTCCAAAAAAAAAATGTTTAGAATTATATCTAATGCAGTGCCGTAAACAGTGGACACACACTGACAGACCTGATGGTTTACAACCAGTCAAAGGGTGGAGCGCGGCCCCATCCAGTGCACATATAAGGCTAATAGTTTGTTTGTTCAAAATAATCATATTTTCTGCGGAAAAAACAAACATATTTACTAAAGTTGTCAAATATAAAATATAAAAAAAAGAAAAATGTTGGTTCTGGCTAAGCTGTGTAGATAACCACTTGTTAGCATTTTTTATTTGATTTCAGATTATTTGATTCTCTGTGTGGAATTCAGTGTCCTGTTTATAAAAACACAATATTTAATATTGGATTTTGACAGATTTACTGATCTTGGTTTGACCCCTGTTGTGCAGGAAGTGCAGTCATCTTTATTTGAGTAAATCACTCATTTGGATGTGACGTTATAAAACAGTATAAATCAAATATTTATCAAAGTTGTCAGTTTGAAGTAGAGGAAACACCGACACTTTTATCAGGAACGTCGTCTTGATTTTCTGAGGTTCATCACTTCTGTGCCGTGATCTCTTTAAAAGCATTGCTGTAAAAAAGTATAATAAATCACCGTTTGTCAGCGTTCTGTAATAACCCCCCCGCCGCCCCCCCTCTCGTGCTCACACACAGGCAGATGGAGGGCGTCTCCAGGTGGCCTCCTAAATCTCCACTGTGATCTCTGCTCCCCTTCTGCATTAGAGGCACTTTGGTCAGATTTACTGTCGGTGTCAGCGGGCACACGGGGCAGTCCTCAGACTGGTTTAGGTCACCTCGCTGTAATAAATACTCCCGCGGGGTATTTAGCTGTCAACAACACATAATTGTGTCTTTAGCACCGCCACTGATTCCAAATCATAAAACTGGGGATAAAAGTAGAACCGGAGACTAACGGCTCGTTTAGGGTTGTTGTTTAACTTCATCTTTCAGCAAAATAAAATGTTACAAACCAGATTTACAACAAACTAGCTAAAGTAAAAGCGCTAAGTGCTTTTTTGTTGCCTCTCAAGCTTTAAAACAGGACAGAAAAATATAATTCTTTTCAAACTACATTCCTAGCTCAGAGTCGGACGATGGGTTTGGGTCCAGCTGTTCACGTCACGCAGAGAAGGTGATGCATTAAGTCGAGGCTCTTCAGGTTTTTGTGAGGTTTTGTTTTCATGCTGGGTCGACATCTGCCTCAGTGAACTCAGAGAGAAACCCCGAGAATCGGACTGAAAACTAAACACAAAGCTGAGGTTAGGGTTTTATTTACCGTCACAGTTCTACACTTCACCCTGACCTGTGGAATACTGACCGTTTTGTCTGATGTGACAATACTGCAGCTTGTGGCCACTTTAGGAACTACATCTCATCACATCAGCGGTAATTATTATTCAGAACTCACAAAAGACTTAAATTAAATCATTTTTAAAATTATTATTCAGAACTCACAAAAGACTAAAAAAATTAAATCATTCAAATCAAGTATCATCAGCAAAGAAGGCGACCCAGAAAAAACGTTGGTTTATTAAAACAACAACACGTCGTCCGTTATTAACCCCTGACCCCCCACACCCTCAGCTTTAATCTTTTCATTAAGACCCCCCCCCAATAGTCTTGGTAACAATGACACAGATTGATGTGGTTAGAACTTTATCAGCGCCTCCTTAAGATACTCGTGAAGCGAGACGTTTTGGTGAAGTCTGTTTCACTGCAGAAAATTAAAGTATGACATCACTAGTTACTAGTTAACATTAGGACAGGACATTCTAGGTCTGTGATCACGTCCTGTAGACATGATGAGTTTCACCTGTTCCTGCTCAGAAGAGTTGGTTAATGTTCTGCCCGTCCGTCAGTGATTTCCTGGTCAGTGTTCCATCGTGTCACGCACCAACCGGCTGCAGTGTTAGTATTAGTTTGGATTCAATGGGAATCACCAGAGTGGAGTGAAAAAAAAAAAAGCAGTAAAACTGTTTGCGTCACCAACGGGAATAAAAATGTGTCGAGGCGAACTGGGGGAGGGAGGACGGAGGTGTGGGGGGGAGGGGTAGCTGTGGTTACTGAGGCAAATGTATCACCGAGTGGCTCAGAAAAATGATTTGATTGAATAGACGGAGGAGTGGCTGAAGGCCTGTGATTGCAGTGATGAATGAGGAGCTGTTCTGTGGGCGCTCGGGATTGAGTCACTAACGGCTGCAGTGACTGGAGTGGAGGAGCTGAGATCAAGTGGACGGAAAAACCCTCCACAAACAAACAGTCACACACAAACAGTGCTGGGAATTTGACGCAGTTACAAACGATTAGTGTTGATTAAATATATGGGGAACATTTTTAAAATAGCCCAAAAAAATAAAAACATTACATTGTTCAGTATTTAGTTAAAGAATCGACTCCAAAACTGACGCAGACATGAGTCACAAATGCTAGTGCGCTGTTGGGATAAACCGTGACATTACAAAAAAAAAAATTCTTCCAAATCCTGTAATGTGCTCTTCTCTACCTTCACTGATAGGCCAAGCAAAGGAAGTGGAAGAAACTGATATGGAAACCTCAAAGGTAGGACCTTATCCATCCATCCATCCACTCCACTCCACTCCACACAGCAGCAGCAGTGAGATTCTGTGGCAGCTCACGTTTGTTCTGTGTCTTTGAAGTGCAGATAAATTACCGCCGCCGTTTCAAACCCTGCTCTGTTCTCCCGCTCACGGTCCTGCTGGATGTAGGTCGTAGTCATTAGCAGAGGTAGAGACGCCCGCAGGTGATTCATCACGTCTGACGCCGCGATGCAGCGGTGACAGAGGAAGCTGTTGCATTAAGGTGTAATGCAAATAAAATCCCACGAGAGAGAGAGAGAGAGAGAGAGAGAGAGAGAGCATCCGGCTCCTCCGTGCTTCTGCTGCGCTCCTCACATTTCACCGTGTGTGTGTGAGTGTGTGTGTTATAGTGTAGTCGTGCAGGGGAGTTTTGAAACTGATTGTTTTTTTTGGTGATTCCAGGAGTTAATTTGGGTTTAGGACTAAAATTAGTGTCAGATTAGAACAGGGTTTAGAGATTAAGATGGATTAGGATTAGTCATCAGTTTGGAACTTTACTTTT